CTTAAAAATTAATAATTAGTTTGTTATATAAAAATGATTTCAATCAATTTTAAAAATAAAATCAATTAAAGTAAAAATAATTTATAATTAATAAAATGAATTAAATGATATTTATTAGGTTGATTGGTTAAGCAAGCCAATCAAACCAATTCAACCAATTGAACCAGACCCGCTGACCAAAACGGGTCAATCATCGATCTGGGCTTTAAAACTGATAGGAAAAACAATTTTATGGATGGTCCTACTTTTCAGGGACTAGATCTTAAATGTAGGTAAAATTGTTTATGTATGGTCCTACTTTGTAGGGAAAAATGCACCTGAACAATATTCTCTGCATTTACATCACCATACCTTTTCATCGGTGTATATATACTATCAAATACATAATCGTCTTCACTCAACACACATTGGGGTGAAGATGCTAGTATTGAGCTATTATCCTTACTCATGCACACCAATTTTCCCCTCTATCACCATCGTCCTTAGGTCAGCTTTGCCTTACTCACTCAATGGTTGTGTTGCCATCGACCAAGTTGTCTGTTGATCCATTGATCTCTCTTCATACCATGGTAACACCAGAGTTGTTTGTAATGTTGTCACCTTGTTTTGACCATCTTTAACTTACTCACTCAGTAACTATGCCACTAATAACTACTCCATGGATCATAGTCCACCTTTGTTTCTGTCAAGCCCATTGCTCAAGTTGACTTTCTTGGCCGTCTTCTTGGTGCTTCATTCGCCTTCTTGCTGTTGCTTCTTCTCTGAAGCTTCCACTTCCTCATTACATTTTGAAGAATCACTACAGTTATCCTTCTAATCTTCACGTTCCTTCAAAGCTTCTAAACACTGATTCTTCTAGTAATCCCTTTCATTCTTTAAATTTTCCCTTTCCATCTTTAATTTTTCTATTTGCTTGTTTGTGGCTATGGAAATCGAGTAATGTTAAATGGATTCAAAGAAAGTTTTTAAGATTAAGTATTGTTAAACATATTCAAAAAAGAATACGTAATTTAGCCAAAAGTGACACAACAATAGGGATCCTTGGCAAAAGAATCTGCACCATTTGCCTCTCTGGCTTCTTATTGACATTCACAAAAACTTTTGCTAGTTCTGCATAATCCTTTAGCTCTATCCATTTATCAATCATTTCCACCTTAGTCTCATTGTCCTTGTTTTCAAGCTTCTTGTCAAATTCTAACTTCCCCATTTTAGCTAATTCACTCAAATTGCAATGGATAAGATACCATAAGGTAACTAACTTTACAATACTTGAAATAAAACAATCAACTACCACGTTGGGTTCTAAACAACCTCTGGGCAAGATTTGATGTCATTATAGTTGGAAGGATTTCTACTTCTTCCACCATAGTTGTGTCAAAATTAGAGTCATCATCATCACTTTTATCCTCACCACTATAGGATGAAATAGGGGAAAGGAATTAAAAAACAGCATCATCCCTCTAGGATGAAACGTGCAAATGAAACAGGAGAATGGAATTAAAAGCCTTTAATACTTAGTAGTATGAAACAAGAAAATGAAAATAAAAAGAACAGTTGCTAATCACGAAATTTTTTCTAAACAACATTAAATTATAAAAACAAAGAAGATGTAGAAAGGAATGCAAAAATCACCCTTCTTGATGGTGAAAGCAATATTCCTAATAAAAAAAACACACACACACACGAAAAAAAAAAAGAAAAAAAGAACAACAACATGAACATAAATAATTAATGATTATTCTAAAGATTTGATTTGTTGGAAGTTCAAATCACATATTATCATCCATTCTTGAAAGTTATGCTTTTAAAATGTACCTTATAACAAGAAAAGTAGCATACTCTATAGACAATCTCTTTACTCAAGCAAAGATATGCTCCTCCCATATCAAATTAATTAAGTATGTATTCTAAACAATTCTATAGATTTGATTAATAAAAGTAATGATTATACTAAAAATTCAATTTCTTATAAGTTCAAAGCATATATCATCACCCATTCTTGAAAGTTTATGCATCCAAAATGTTCCTTATAACAACAAAAGTAAGATACAATGACATATATAGTCAATCTCTCTACTCAAGTAAGGGCATGCTTATCATAGATCAAATTAATTAGGTATATGTACTAAACATTTCTTTTCCTATGTCCTGTCATGGATCAAGTAGCATTTAAAATTACATGTGATAAAAAAAGCATACGAAAATGAAAAGATTTTGTACTTATCATCTGCTTTGGAAACTTGAGCCTTTTTTTGGAGGCTGAAGCTGGAGCACAAGCTTGTAGCAAGCCTAAAAGTACACAAAAGTAGGCTTGTAATGATCATCTACTACCCAGAAGAACCTAACAGAAATAGTGGAAGCCCGATAAATGAGAATAATGAAGAATCATCAAGCCAACAATCACAAAGCAATCACAGGACTTAAATCAAGCAACAGCTCCATTTCAAGATTAAAATCAAGTGGCAATGATAGCATGGTGCAATAATTAAGCCTTGAATCAATTATTTCTTATTTTCTATTGTTATAATTATTACCTTGATTTCTTTCCTTGTACAACATTGTATATATAAATATAAATAAAGAAGCTCTCTTTTGGCATGAACCAAGAGAGTGAAAGGATTTAAACACTCTGCAAATTGTTTTAGTGATCACATTGGAAACCATCAGGTGAAACACATGCACACAGTAGAAGCCCTTGGGAGGCTAAGATTGGTAAAATGAAACACGGGTACCTTAAAGAAGTCTGACAGAAACAATAGGCCTATGAACTAGTATAAACCTTTTTCTATGCCATGGTAAGTGAGTGAGTGAGTTGAAGTTGGTCAGGAGAAGGCAACCTAAGTGATGAGCCTTATAGAAGTGGCAGTGGCGCTGTAATCCGTGGAGCAATCATCATGGCATAATTACTAAGTGAGCGAGTTGAAGATGACTAGAAGAAGGCGATGATATCAGAAACAACTCAGGTGCTATTATGATATGAAAAGGGATCAGTGGATTAGTAGGCAGCTTGGTCGATGGCAGTATAGCCACTGAGTGA